TATGTTTATGTATGTGTTGTGTGTGTGTGAGGACCCCAGGAAGAATAGCCAATTATCATGCTAGTGCTATAGGGGATCCTAATAAAGAATAAGAATTAGCACAATGCTACCTCTTTTTCACAGAGGTATACAAAGCACCAATACCATCTTGTAGATTGATATCTTTCTAGGCCACACTGTAAATGTGTATTCTCTTGTCATTGCACCTCCCTTTATAATACTGCTGCTCTCAATAATGAAAACCATGTTGTATTAAGATGTAGCTCGTCAGTTTTAGAATCAGAAATCTTGTCGAGATGAGCTGCAGTTGAAGTGAATAACAGCTTTGACCTTTACAGCTGTATAAAATAATTATAGCTACTATCTGTTATACTTTAAGAAGGATTATAAAACACATTGCCGTCCTTGTAAAGTCTTAAATAACACTTCAGCTGAAACTCAGAGGAGGTCATAGTTTGGCTCAAATTGAACTTTTCTGGGCTGCTATTATTTATTGTGTGTTATTATTGTCGAATGTTCTGATAAACATTACTAAACAGAAAACCAACATACTTCCTTTTCATCTACCTTTGGTTGTGTCACGGTTTTAAGCTTGTGTGTCTGGTAGTGGGTGTTTTTCTGTTCTCCTTGTCATGTTTTCCTCCCTGTATATTGTCTGGTCTTTTTTCCCTGTGTTTTCCTTTCTGTCGTTAGTTTTCCCTGGTGTATCTAATTAAAGTCAGGTCTATGCTCTCTATGTGCTCTTGTGAAAGTTTTGATCTTCACTGCGTGAGCGTTTTCATTTTGTTCTCCATTTTTGTAGAGACCATTTTTTGTTGATCATTTTTTGCTGTTCTTGAAAAAATAAACTATCTTACAAATACTTTACCTCTGTCTCCCGGGTCGTGCAATTGGGTCCTATCTCCTAAGTGTCTGAGTTCGTAACACTCACCTTATTATCAATATGTTATTCTGATCAAAAGTCGTGTTCAATGGCATTAAAACGAGAAAAAACACGGCTGAAGGTTAATCCAGGTGTCCGTCACTTTGAAAAAGATATTAATATTCCATAATTCAATTTTTATGCAAAAATCGGAGAATAAAAATTAGCTGCTAATGGTAGCCACCAGAGGTTAGTGCAGCTTCCGGTTTCTCTATGCGTCACTCTCACTCCTTATTTGGTAACCTGTGTGTGTATGTGGAAATTCCTTCGATTCCATTGGCTCTGACGGTAAAAAAGAGATGTCAATCATCAAAATCGTAATCGGTGTTTTTGCTAAATCTCCCTAAAAAGGTCAAATTTCACTTGTTTTGCATCAATCTTGATACAGGGTACTTATTATATGTTGTACTTTGGATTCCTAAAGCTTTTAGTCTACCATACCATCAACCAAGGGTAGTTTTTACTATAAAGTAAAAAAATAATTATAATACTATAATTTACAGTTTATTTACTATGTTCAAAAACATCTATATTGATTCTGACTTTTCTACATCCAACTCACAGGTTTATCATTACTTTGAGAAAAAAGATTATTAATTTTCCCCTTTTAGAAGTGTAGTTATGGTCATTTGTTCTGGAAATGTCATTTTCGAGCCTGAGACATGAAAAACAGGGATGGGGTTCAACAGGTTAAGAGCAAGGGCTCAGAAGATTATTACACCTATTAATTGGTAAATCAATTAATAATTATAGAAAGTAATTTCTCGTGCAAATATGGCATCTCTCAAATTATGATATTTACTCTTTTGTTTCACATCATATTCAACTGAATATCTTTGGTTTTTGGACTGACATTTAAAGACACCTTGGACTTTGGAAAACTGGGATATAGATTTTTATTATTTTCTTGTTCATAAAAGATTGGCAGTTTAAAAGATCAGGAAAATAATCATTAGTCGCAGCCCGATTAAAGAAGAGTTTGGAACTCTGTACTGTCATTTCATACGACTGTGCTGCATGCAATAGACACACAATTTCCTTATTAGAGAGACCCACCTGTTCGTTCTGCTCCAACAGCATCTGATCCAGGATGGGCATCAGCCAGTCCTCAAACTTACAGTAGTTGTCATTGGGCACCAACAGATTCCCTATCCTTCATCCAGCAAGGACAGAGGAGGAGGAAGAGGTCACAGGATTAACAAGATGTAAACAAACAGTGCATCTGATATAGAGTACAAGACTTAACAAGATGAATATTTGCATCTTAAAACCTGTGTCTTGTCCTTTGTCATTATTAGTACAGAGCAACATCTGCTATTCACAATTTAAAGGTGACATATTTACAGTTTATACCATTATGCAGCATGGTTCTGAGGATGTAGTAACCAACCTGTTGATGGCCTTTAGGCGGAGTTCCTTGCCAGACAGGTTGAAATCTCCCAGGTATGTGTTACCCATACACTTAATGAAATCCTCCTCTATGCCTCCAGCTGTGGTTACAATCACATCCACCTAAAAGAAAGAGACAAGACAGGTTCAGAATGATAGACTGGTCTCCCTGTTGGATTGGTGAAAGTGTTAAAGGTCCCCTATTATACTCTTCTCATCAATATATTATAGTTCTCAGTTATATACAAAACATGTCTCTGAAGGGCTTGGCTCTAAACACCAAACAGATCATTGCAGCATCCCATAATCCCCTCTGTTTCAGCCCCGTTTCAAAAGTGCTGATTCTCTGTCTGTTACTTTAGATGAAAATAAGGAGCTCCTCCCCACGCCGCTCTGAGAGATATTTGGTTTGAAAGAACACAATGGTGCTCTATGAGGAGATTCAGGTGATAAGGTGGGGGGGGGTTACCTTGTTTGGTTATTAGCTAATGGTTACACAAGCCAAAAAATCGTTATGACATCATAAAGTGGCCAAAATCTGATCAGCTCATTTTCAGACAGGTTTTTATATAAATGGATCAGGACAACATTTTTAGTGGATTTTGCGTAATAGGTGGCCTTTAAGATGTTCTCTGTGATGTAACTATGACATGGATAATATTTTAAGAAACGTAATAAATGTGTACCATTTTGTGCTCAGCCAGGTAGCGGATGCTCTCTCTGATTCCAGAGCTGATGAGGTTGGAGGTGTAACCCAGGAAGATGGTGCAGCCCGCCTTGCTGCGATATTCATCCGTCTCTTTTCCCTCACCCTCCTCCATTGGCTCAAGACGCTTCTCTATCTGTGAGTGTGGAGTCATTGAACAACAATATTAGCACAGGCTACTGAATCTATATAATTTAAAAGGGATCAGTTCACCCCCAAAAAGCCTTTATCTCTTCCCATTTTATATATATATGTAGATAATTATCGTTTTATGCGCCCAGGTTTGAAAATGTTTGTCTGACATTTCTGCCTCCACCCTGATAAAATGAAGGAGAATGGAATTTCATTTGTTATGTTAAACAAAACAAATATATTTTACAAGAAACAGTTAACCTGTAAATCTGGATAATCTACAGAAGAAGCTGACAAGTTTCCTTACAAATGTTTCAACTGTAGAATTAATATGTCTCTGTAGTGGCTGTCAAAATAAAAAGGTCAATAAAAGGCAAAAAAGATTCCGGTCATGTCATGTTTTCTAGCTCCAGACAATCAAGTGATTTCTAGGAAGCCAACTTGCTGTTCTAATTCTTCCTTTGGGGTTATTTAGTACTGTATGGCCCACCAATGAGAACCCATTCACCTCTGTTGTATTGGGGTAGGAAACAATCACAGAGACCATTGTCCTATGGGTAAGACATGGGTAAGACATCGGTAAGAAGTACAGTAAATGTGCTTTTTGTAAGATAACCTTTGCTACAGCAAGATTTCTCTCACCATTTGGTTTATCTCTTGGATAGCCAATCCCAAGCTGCTGGCCTGGAAGCCTGTGGTGATGAAGGAGTCCATCACTGCCTGGAGATCAACCCCCTGGTTAAAGTCGTAGCCCCTGATCTTTAGCGTGTCCTCCGGCAATTCGCAACTAGGCTTAAGGACAGCCTCTCTGGCATTAGAAATGTCACCGTCAGACATGATTTCTGCAACAACAACAACAACTTTGGTTATCATACAAGGTGATGCAAAGCAGAGCGTTGATTTAGTCAAAAATATGTCATTTTTCTTCAGCATGTGATGACAGGTACAATAAATGTTAGTGCCAAAAATGAACAGGCTTTCGGAAGCACTCAAGCACTCCTGGTTCAGCAAAGGGCTTGGCTGAGCGCTGAGGACTCATAAATACTGCGAGGAGCCAATTGGGACAGACCACCTGCTTCCATGTCAAAGTTTTTTGGGTTTTGTCAGTGTCCTTTGTGTATTCTGTTACTATTAATTATCCCTTGGTTTTAACTTGGTTTGGCCAAGCCACTATATAGGTTCCTTGGTTTGTCAGTGTACGAGTCCGTTTGTTGAGGCAACACCTGTTAAGTTGATGCCATGTTTATTTGAGGTATTCTCTGTTAACATTACATTGCATTTAGCTGACGCTTTTATCCAAAGCGACTTACAATAAGCGCATTCGACCAAGAAAATACAAACTTGAAGAAAAGAATCATATAAGTACATCAGGTTTCATAGAGCCAAAACATTTCAAGTGCTACTCAACTGGCTTTCGATAAGCCAGTCCTTTATTAGTATATAGGTGCTTTGTTAGTAATTGTATTGCTCGAAGTGGACTCGAAAGAGATTGTGGGAGAATTTAGGAAGGTTGAAGACCAGGCGAGCCGCTGCATTCTGGATGAGCTGCAGAGGTCGGATGGCACATGCAGGTAGGCCAGCCAGGAGGGAGTTGCAGTAGTCAAGGCGTGAGATGACGAGAGCCTGGACCAGAATTTGTGTCGCTTTATGGGTCAGGAGGGGACGTATCCTCCTGATGTTGTAAAGAGTGTATCTGTAGCAGCGGGTTGTAGCCGCTATATTTGCAGTGAAGGACAGTTTGCTATCTAGGGTCACACCCAGATTCCTTGCAGTCTGAGTCGGGGAAACAACAGAGGGGCCGATGTTGATTGTTAGGTCAAGAGTGGGACAATCTTTTCCCGGAAGAAAAAGCAGCTCAGTCTTGTCATGGTTGAGCTTGAGGTGATGAGCAGACATCCACTGAGAGATGTCAGCTAGACAAGCAGAGATGCGTGCGACGACCTGGGTCTCTGGCGGGGAAAAGACAGAATGAATAGGGTGTCGTCAGCGTAGCAG